ATAAAAATATTTATAAACTGCTCAGTAATACATTTTTCATACCAATATATTTAATTATGTGAGCCAAATCCTCAGACCAACTTTTTCTGAGAAGAATAAAATTATTTCGGCACACATGTACGTATTTGCCAATATTAATGTAGTCTTTATTTTATTATTTTAATTGAAATATGTTTAAATAATTTTGTGTGGAATGGAAAAATTTAACAACGTGCTTTTGTGAACGGAGCGATGAGATCATACTTCCACATTCCCGCTCGTCCAATAGTTCAGTTCGGATCCGCTACAAGCCCATGGCGAAGCCATTTACACGTGGAAGCACTTATCTTAGAATCCATGGATATGGGTTGGGTTTAGCAAAATGAGTATATCATAACAAGATAAATTAAACTTTGAATTTTAATTTTTATTAGAAAAGATGTTTATATTTAGTACTCAGTAATATTTCAAATAGAATTATCTTTAATAGATGAATAGCCGTACTTCTCCAAAAAAAAAGAAAAAGAAAATATGGAAACTATTGAATTGAGTGGTCAGATAGTTCATATTTAATATATGATAATGTCTTAAATAAAATTATTTTCAATAAGAAAATATTTGTAATTCACCAAAAAATAAAAAGAAAAAGAAAGCATGAAGGCCATTGAATTGGGTGCTTGTTTCAGCATTTTTGGGATCTAGTTGAGAAGGCTAAATCCCTTTTGTGTAGGGACTGAGCAGTGGTGGTAAGGAATTTACCTAAAGATAAACTTGCTAGTGCTGACAAGCTTGCTAAATAGATAGTTTAATAAGCACCAATCATCTTTATGATACTGTTTGGTATAAGAAGGAAAAAAAAGAGAGGAGAAGAAAAATTTTAATAAGTTCTATTTAAAAAATTAGAGAAGTATAATTTTGACATTTTTAATAGAGAAAAGAAGTAATATAAAAGAGTAATAAAAATCAATTAAAAGTTTTAACTCCACTTTTTTAATTTTTTTAAATCAAGTTTATTAAAATTTTCCTTCCCCTTTCTTTTTTTAATTTTCCTCATACCAAATGGACCCTATATGTTAAGATGGAAAGTGATGATGGAGGCCAGCTAGTTAGAGGAGGGTTTTTGTTTATTTTGTAGTTCATTTTTCTTGTTTGTCTTCTGTTTGATGTGTTAATAAAGCTTCAGTTTCCATTAAAAATAAGTGCTTGTTTGGCTTTCTGAAAAAAAAAAAAACAGTTTATATGTTATGAGATAAAATTTTTTCCATATTTATTTAGTATCATCATAGGCATGTGCATGTATGCCAACCCACTACGATATGATATGCTACAAGTAAATATTTATAAAAAGAAATGAATTTCATTTTAGGACTCAAAATCAATAAAATCAAACTAAACCTAATATTCTCAAGACTGCTTTTGGTGTAAATTATGACAGCTCGACAAATCTCATAAGTTAAATCGAAGGAAATGGAAATCACAATGGTAAATTATGAAAACTTTATAAGAGATAGTTGAGAATGTAATCCAAGCATATTGAAAGTTATGATTAGTTTATCTTTTAGCTTTTACAAATTGGCTTTTAAATTTACAATTGATTTTTACTTACAAAGCTTTTTATAATTTATGGTTAATTTTTAGTTCAATTTCCCATTTTATAATTGAGCTGCATGCTGATCATATAAGAGGCTTTTGGTTAATGAAATGTTTAAAAAGACTTGTATACTGTAAAGGTTAGAATGAATATTTAAATTAAAAGATATATTAATTGGAAATTCAAAGTCACGGCAAAAATTTTTTATACCCAGGACAAATTACAAATTTTGTAATTTCAAAAATCTCTTTAAAATTCGAGGAATAAAATATATTTTTTTCTCTGTAGTGCGGTATAATTTAAAAAGAGAAAAATGACAAAAAATCATCAAAATAGAAAAATTATAAATTAAAACTCATGACCATAATATCGGTTTTGATAATAATTTTTATAAATGGATCATGTATGTAATTTTTTTTATTTCAACAGTTTTATTTTACAATTTTTTTTAGAAAAAGAAAAAGAAAAAATTTGTGAACGAACCGAAGGGCAGATAGGAGAATCACCGAGGGAAGACGGAATCCCTCATGCCTCCTGAGTGCTGAGAGCCTCTGATTTCCTGCGCGCGCAAGAACGAAGCTTCGAGACTCTGCTTTGTTGAATTCGAATTCGCTCGCTGTGTCTGCATCCCTCGTCTCGGGTATGCGCCTGTATATATTATCTGTCGGGCATGTATTTCTGTTTTCGCTAATAATTTGAACCATTTGCTCGGTTATTGTTCAGCTTATGCTTTAATCTCTGCAAATATACTGTCCTACCGTTTCTGCAAATGCGTCTCATCAATGGTGGAATTTTAGTTCAGATTGAAACAATACACTCTGTATCTCTGGCAGGTTGTCCCCAAGATGAACTAAAGTCCTTCACGATAATTTATTCTTTGTGGGTTTGATTTTGAGGTTACCAGAGTTTTGAATCAAAACCCTAGTGGAAGTGCATCATCAGTGTCTTCATTGGGTTTCCTGTACATTGTAGGACATAAAGGATACCTAATGAATCTGTTAATTCCTAATCTTCCACAACAGCTTAATTTCTCTGGATCTTTGTCAAGTTCAGGCTGTCTTTCCCTCCATGAAAAGCTTTCTCATCTTTCCCTTTCTCACTCTCCCATTGTTACACCCAAAAGGACAGTCATTCGTATGGGTGGGGGACCTAGGACTTACCCAGGAGGTGTGTCAAAATGGCAGTGGAAGAGAATGCAGGCCAAGAAAGCCAAACAGCTGCTAAAGGCCCGGCTATGCCGTGAGCGACAGATATATGAAATGCGCAAGAGGGCAGAGCTGAAAGCTGCGGTTTCTGAGCTTGAGAGACCATGGGAGGTTGTTGAGAGAGCCCCAACCTTATTTTCAGTTAAAGCAGATGAACAATTGAAGGTGTTGGCTGATAGGTTTCAGAAACCTGGTGGGTTTGATATGTGGTCTGAGAGAGATGGACCACAACTGTTTGAAACCCCGGATGAGTTGCCTTCTGCAAGATTTTTTCCCAAAGGGGTTGTCCACAGCATTAGACCTTACAGGAGAATCAGCGATTCAGAGTTAGATCATATTGAAGGGGGTTCAGAATCAGAAGCTGACGAGGATGTTTCAGGTAATGAGGTGAGCAAGATAACACACAGATCATCCAGAAGAAAATTTAGAGGTAGGTCCTCTGGAGGAGGGGAGACTGAGGGAGGGGACTTATCGGATCAGGAAAATGGACCATATTCTGGGAACTCTTCTTCAATTAACTCAGTGGAGTCTTTGACCAATAAGAGGCTTAATGGAAAATTGAGGAAGAAGGGGAATAGAAGAAAGAATTTTTCTAGGAACCTAGATGGTTCAAATGGATATCTGGGGAGAGTTGAGTCTGAAAGGAAACAGAGAGGGAATAGTTCCTATCCACATCGTCGTAGTGGCTACTATAAGAGGGTGACTTCACCCTATGCTTCACCAGAGCATGAAGATGCAGAGTCTGAAGTTTATGATATGAGTTTGCAACGAGATGGGAGTTATGGATTTACGCAGAGTGGTGTATCTCACCCAAATTAGGGGAAAGAAGCTTCATTATCAATCCATACATTCTAAGTTAGAGATGAGTTTTGATCTGGCAAATGGGTTGTATAAGGAAAATGTACCCTTTGTTAATGAAAATGTATTACTTTTTTTTTTTTTTTTAAATAATGTTTTAGTTTGGTTACTTTATTATATTTTCGACCACAGCCCCGCCCATAACAATACTTTCTGGTCTGCGTAATTACAAGTTAAATACAATCATTTTGTGATGTAGAAAGAAGTTGGGAACAGGGAAGAGGAGGCGAAGAGGGAAGAGAATCGGAGAGAGAGGAAGAGGGAAACTAGAGGGGAACAGAGAGTGAGAGAGAATTAATTCATTCAATCTGATAAACTGAATACAACTAGCTCTTCTGCCCTTATTTATAGACTCTAGTATGTAGACCCTCTTAACTAGCTAACCCCCTTTTTATTTATTCATTACATAACATTTTGCTGAAAATGTAAATATTAAGTTTGGCTGAACTTCAATTTTGATATCAATATATATTTTAAAATTTTCCTTATAATCAAGGCTTACTTGCATGGTCATGTAAGTATGTGATTAATTAAAGTCTTGACATATTTAACTTTAAAGTTAAATTGGTTGGCATGTCATAAATATGGGATTCACTGCATGGGGGGTTGCTATTTAAGTGTCATGTTTCAACCATACTGGTTCATGTACTAAAAGGATGTAGGTTATGCATCATTAAATAGTACAAAATAATTTTGTCCTGGGTGGATGAAGAGGTTGGTGTGCTTTATAAATCCTGCAATTATTGTACCAACTTTTGCCTGCTAGTTGGCTGGGATTTGGTTTTCTCTCAATAAATTCTGCAGAATGGGATCTTGTTGACAGTATAAGCTCAATTTCTTAAATTGTATCCGTGAAATTTCGTAGTAGACCAGCTGGGTTCTCATTGATATTGTCAGAAATGAGTAGTTTCTTAGAATGTCTGTTGTCATCAATTTTTCTTCCAAGAGGGAATATGCAATTTGGTTTCTGCAAAATTTGCCTCCTTCTGAATAAGTTCTTAGATTTATTCTTCTGTACAACTTTGTCATTCAAAATTTGTAACTTGCTAGTTGCAACACATGTATTGACATTGTCCATTAAATTATGTTCCCGTTTTGGTCCCCTAGACAAAGAAGCATGTAATGAGTTACAAACTTTGAAGTGGGGAAATCCGAGTACTGATGTGTTTGTGACGAATTGTGAAATAAGTATCTTTGCGTGTGCACGCGCTGTTCAGAAAACTTGCTAGAAGCCAATGGCATTGCGGCTTTGTGCTACGAAAAGAGGTTGCAAGTTTCGATCTTGCATGTAATCTTAAATGGAAAAGATCAGTTTTCATCTCATCATAGAAGCACTGAAACCGAATTTGAAGTTTTGCACAAAGTCTAGAAGAGGCTTATGTGAACGCACAAAATCAAAACATGAGAGACATTATTACATCAAACAGCTCTTTGTATCAATAATAAGATAAATGTCATGCCATATACAAAGTGTTATGGCTTATTTTAGATAACTTATTAAGCAATCAGTAAGAGAGAGCAGACATGCATCAGAAGATGAAGACGATGAAAGGCCAGGCCAGTACTCTCTTATCATTGCACATATAAGATTATTTGGGGAAGTGTTTCTGTTCACTTCCAACCCTTGAACTTGCCACCATGCTTTCCATATTTGCCATGCTTGAACTTGCCATGGCCATGACCGTGACCATAGTAGCCTCCATGAGTGTAGTAGCCACCAGTTCCATGACCCAAATGGTGCTGACCCCCACCATAGTATCCAGTGCCTCCATGACCATGATGATACCCTGTTTGTTTTCCCATAAATCGGGTCAAAAAAGTCCACATGTTTATAAACTACGCTATATATGGGACAAATTACTTTGCAGTTCCACATAAGCAACCTAATCATTAAGAAGTCTTTTGAGTTGTCAATATGTCATTACTTGTTATTTCCTGCAGCGGAATTTGCCATTGGCATGTTGCTCATAAACCTTTTATTGATTAATTGCTTACATGGGATTGTATAGTACTATCTTCGATCCTTAGTATAAGAACTAGATAACTAATTTAGAGATATTAAGAAACTTAGTTAAATTAACCTATTTAATCATATATATTGGAACTAGCCCTTGGTACAAACCCCTTTACAAAGTAGATTGAGGTTTTTTATTTAGAACCAAATCCAATTTTCTAACTAGCTCTTATATTTATGATCCGAGGTAGTAACTTTTTTCAGCATATTTAGAATTGATGATTATGACTTACTTTCAACCCTGTCTTATTATATGATGGTAAAGAAAGTAATCAATTTGATGAGAAATATGAGGGGAAGAGATAGCAAACCTTGCTGATATGGATAAGAACCAGAATAACCATAGTTAGGTGGAGGATATCCAGAAGAAGGATAAGCAGAAGGAGGAGGATATGAGTATCCTTGTGGTGGGTAGCCCCCTTGTGGAGGATATCCTCCTCCAGGTGGATATTGGTAACTCATCTTCTTTCTTTAACTTTTAGTTATTATTCTGGCCAAAACAAGAAAAATAAGTCATTATTTTCAAATCTGCAACGCAAGAAAATAAAATACAATATTCTTCACTTCTAACTCTTCTATAACCCCATAGGATTGAATTCAGTGAAAGACTACGACGAGCCTATAACACTAGATATCCTTTTGCAATTCAATGTACCGTTAGTGCCAAAATTTTTTTACATTAATTTAAAAGGCCTTCTTATGCTGGTTATCTAGTCTTCTACACTGGTTATGGAACGGGCGTAGAAAAATAACTTTTCTGTACCGGTTTTCGCTAGCATGTTAATGATAAAACCAATTCCATGAAAACATTCATAAATATATGATCATCTTTTATGTTAAGAACAATCATCTCCAAGACTATATGCATATTAGAAGCAAGTACAAGTGATATTTTAAAGCATATTTTAGAAAATTATAGATATTTTCACACCAAACAACATATATTTTGTAAGAGGTGTACACATAGGTTGAACCAAATCAAATATCAAACCAAGATGATGTAGCAAAACAAACAAACGTAAGAAAGGATCTAATATTTTTACTACGAAGGAAATTAAGGACTATAATAAATCACGTCTCAAACAAACAAAATTTCAGCAGGGAAACTATTTGCAAGAAACTTACTCAATTGGTTCTTCTTCGAAACCGAGTCACTGTATTCTCTGATAGTATTCCAAGTTTGGAAGTCAGTGAACAAATTTATAAGCACGATCATATATTCTTATTCTTTGTAATAATATATATAAAGATTCTTATTCAGTCATTCTTTATTTCCTGATGGTGTGAAAAGACATGCGTTGCTTCAACGCGTTTGGAATTTGTTTCTTCTAGAGCTTTAATTTGCACCATACAATTTGGAATTTGGAGTGTAAGATGCCGTATTACTTTATTTTTTTTAATAATAAAATATTGTCACGCCTACTTAGGCATATATTCTTGAGAATTATAATACGTAAGGATACGAAACTCATGAAATTGACAATTGAAAATTTTAAAAATTATGTGTTTTATCATCAGCAAAAGATATCCCAAAAAAAAAAAGTTAAAACAACAGGAAGCAAATTCATGAGCATATGGGACGCTCGTAGCTTAATTATGCAATCATTCATGAAGATCATATAAGTTGATACACAATATCATAATTTAACTGATACTACCTCTGGTTCTTAATATAAAACCCTATTTGACTTTTATTTTGGTCCTAAATATAAGACCCAAATCCACTTTATCTGTCATATTTATACATTTTTTTTCAAAGTAGCCCTTCTAATAATGATAGTTCTAGTTAATACACTTGATTAGCAAAGATATTTTAGGAAAGACAATATCTATTTAGGACAAATAACTAACTCAACTTATTTTCTTAATCTTCTCAAATTAGTCAACTGGCTCTTATAATTAGGATCGGAGGTAGTGTAACATCCTTATTTTTATCTATTTAATTAAATTAATAAATAAATATATGTTAGTATTAAGTTAATTATAAAAAAAAAAAGTTAGATATGGGCAAAGTATTATATTATTATTATTTAATAATGTTTTGTGGGTAATTGTGTGTGTGGATGATATTCTAGAAAATTAAATCATAGTATAGAAGTCCCACATCGACTAATCTTTAGAGTGAAGGAGGTTGAGGAGCCTATATATAGGAGCCAGTGAGTGGAGCTTGGAGTGAGTAAATAATTTTCGCACATATCTGAGGTAGTCTCAGAAAAGTGCTAGTTTTGATTTTATTAACCGTTGGATTGGATTGAAATTTGGTCAGCCCATTTGGGACATCCAAATCGTTAATTTCAACGGTTGGATCATCATTTTGATTTCCGAGTTACAAGTTATTAGATATAAACTCTATTGTGGCATTTTCGAGGTTGGACTCTGGTTGTAGTTGATTGATAGCTAGAAGACCAGGTAACTAAATTTCTATCTGTTGCATGCTCTAGTATGAAGTTGGTGAGCGGCTTTATAACTGATTCTATAAAAGTATATTACGTTTTGTATGAACTGTCTTGTGGGATGCTATTTTTAAAAGGATTGACATAGTTTGTATTGCAAGAAATTGGTGATCATGATTATGATGTGCTATTATGAAATTCTGTTGATTATGCATATACATGTGTCATTTTGAACCCTGTGCATCTATTTTGGGCGGGGAAAGGAGGTAATTGGAACTATTGAGATTCATATACTTGCCACGTGGTATTAGCCTCCATACGGAGCTCTATGGTTGGCTGCTATTATTGTCCCACTAGTTCTTCGAGGGACTGCGACACCCCACTAGTTCTTCGAGGGGGGACCCATGGTCCACCGAGTGCTCTGTGGTCTTTGGCCGGTCCACATCATTCGTGTGGTGAGCTTGTCAGAGTTGCCAGTTAAATGGAAAGAACTTAGCCCATGGGTCCAGTCGGCGGAAATAAGGAGGATATAAGGATGAATTTGGGTTCAGGAATTGCATATGACATGGGATATTCATTGATATTTCCATCTTTTAAATAAATGACAAGTATGTTATCTCTTTTGAAAGGTATCAATTGCATGAGATTGGTGGAAATATTTGTCTTGTATAATTATTGTGAGTTTAAATGTTAAATAAATGTTTATCAACTATTATTAGCTCTGTGTATCCCACTTGACACCTCTCTAGCCCATGCTAGGGTGTGGGATAGGTAGGGATTTAGTTACTGAGACGTTGTCTCATTCCTGTTGCTTTACCATTTTCAGGAAACAATACGTTAGCGGGATCTTCGGGGAAGACTCCTGAGGCTCAATAGCTGTAGCTGACAGTGTAGAGCTTCTGGACCTTATTTTTATGCAATCTTTTCATATATTGCCACGCATCAGGACTGCATTCATTTGGGACTTATTTTACCTTCTTATATTTTTATGTCGTTTGACTTAATGAACGTATTATACTTTCTATCTTTGGTTTATTTTGTTTGGACATCGGACTAAAGTGCTGGTAGTGGGCCTGAGGCCCTTAAATTGCATGTGATTGAATTATTGTGGATCCACGATGTGATAATGGCAATTTTGGCAAGTTTAGTTGTGGCTAGTGTTGACTAAGATAGTCAAGTCTAAACTGCTATTATAATTTATCATTCAGAGGCGTATTGTTTTATAACCATGTTGATATGATTACAAATATAGGTTATTCTTTTCTAACCATGATAGCCTTAATTAAGGTCGAATTCTTTTCTATCATGGTTAGCCCCTTAGTGATGTGATTGTTCTTAAATAACCATGATAGGGTATGTTTACTAGTTTTAGTCCTTTCTATCATGGTTAGTTCTGGTTAGTAAGTGGTGGACGTTACAGGTAGTATTAGATACCTTCTTTAAGACTTCTGAGTGTCAGAATTGCGAGTTTGAGGTCTCAATAAAAAGTATGATATGTGCATGAGTTATTTTAAAAAAAAAAAAGCACGATAATCATAACTCACTAGTATAAGGTAAAGGATGACAAAAGAAAAAAGTATCATTCTTAATGAAAAGGAATGGTTTAACTTAATGTCACTAGATTAAAAAGAATAAACTATTTGTGAAGGTCTGTTTTAGGATAATATATAATTGGAAAATATTACCAGTCCTAAATATAAAATTTAATTTATAGTGCAATTTATAATATAAAGTGGATATTATATTTAAGACTGAAGGTAGCATACTGGATTAAAAGCTTGGCAATGGAGTTTTGAATTTAATTTCATGTCGAGTACAGCATCTAAAGTTATGAAGGTTCTTAATAGTTCAAAGTTTTGTTGGGCTCAGCGTGTAAGAAGACGTCTGAAGATTAACTAGATGTTATAAAGAAAAAAAGATTAATTAGCCTTTGTAAATTGAACCTTTTATCCAAAGAATACTAACCGCCACATCTTGAGCATACCTCTAGTTTCTCCAAAGCATTATTTGTAAAGTTTGTATTGGGAACAAGCAGCTTAATGCTTACATATCTTAATATTACATATTCAAGAGATCCTAATGCATTTTCACACACACATGTTCATTATGAGAGAATCTAGTTTCCTAGGAAGAATTCGAGAAAAATCCATTAAACTTGTAAATTCTAGTTCCCCTGGGAAAAAAACTCTCTCATATAGAACTCATGATAATATCCCTTATAAACCTCTCTTTTCTCAAGATGACATGTCGTGTACCTCGAGACATAAGATTGGTAAAAGAACCATTTAATTTTGTTCTTTTCTTTTCTTTTATCTTTTTTTTTGGGCAACTCCAAATCATTCTCCTGTAAACAAGTTGTCTGTTTTTTTTTTTGGAATAAAATATTGTATATCAAAGATTCAACATCTACTGTGTTCGTCATCAATTGCCTTCCCCTATCTAACAGGTGGGGATTGATCAAAAATATAAAAATTTGCCTTTATTCGAAGGGGATACTTCATTAGAAAAGTGTCTCGCCAAAACCTGCCAATCTTTATGCAAGGCTACTCTAATTTCATCAGTCAATAATATCTCTAAAAAGGTGAGTAGCATCACACGCTCTTATAATCAAATTAATGGCCTCAATACAATTAGAAGAGAATGACTGGTTTTCATTCTCTTCAATGTGACAACAGGTTAATTTCCTTACTTCCTTGCACAGTTGTTGAGCCCCAGGCCCATAACTTCTATGCTTGCTCCTTTATATAAAAAGGCCCTGAAAAACCAACGGGGGTTGGTCCAAGTGGTAAGCGGCTTGGTACCGCTTAAGCGAGGTTTCGAGTTCGAGTCTTAGCGTATGCAGAAATCCCTGTTGAGAGACTCACCCATCATAGCCAGTTGCGCGACGCGGGTCGGATCCAGATGTAGTTGAAGCAAAACTCCGGTAAACTGAGTGGGTAACAAAAAAAAAAAAGGCCCTAAAAATACAGAGACAAGTAAACAACTTCCTGGTCTAGTTTTCTGATCCTGGGCTAATGGGCGTGAAAGGACCCAACATAGCCAACGCATCAAGATTAGCTTCTGGCTGATTGACCGAGTGGGAGACATGACATGGCAAGCTTGTAATCGTTGGGTGAAACGAGAGGCTGAGAAGTGATTTGTTCAAACTGAACCGGACGCCTTGGAGCCAAACCGCGCGCTCGCAACCTTCTGTGTTTTCTACTTCTGGTTGGCAATTTTGGACCTCGCATTCAAAATTATCTTCTGAGCTCAAGGCCTTTGATACACTTCCCTCCTCATGCTTTGTTCGCTTCAGCAAAATGGGTGGCCCTATCTTCGTCTCTCTTCAGAGATTGCATTGCATAACTCCATTGTCCCAAGCCTCGCCTTCTTCCTCCAGCAGCTATCGCCCCGCCGTTATTCTTCCTGTTAGTCCTCTCTCTGTCTCTTTCTATCTCTCACAATCACTAAACATATGCATTAAGAATTTTTTTTTTTTTTGTGGTGATTGGGCTCTGATTAGAGTTCGAAATCGATCTTTCAAGACATTTCTGCTACTTTGAGCTTAAGTGCGTTTGTCTAAAGTTTGGTGATTTGGTGGGTCACTTTGTGTTGATGATATTTTCTCATTGATTCTCAGGGTTTAGGGAACAATTCGGGTGACTACCAGAAGTTGGTTCAGACACTGAATGACAAGTATGGCGTCCCCACGGTGGTGGCTAAGGTATCGAGGCTCGATTGGCTAAGGAATGCCGCTGGTTTGGTCGACCCCGACTATTGGCGTGGCACTCTTAAACCTAGGCCTGTGCTGGACTGGTAAGGTTAATTTATTTCTTTCTCTGTCCTGATGCAATCTAAGAAAGAAGCACACAACGTAGACAAGGTGTCAGACAGAAATTTTAGTTTTGAAGTATCAATGATTCATAGAATGCAAGCCATTTGGTTGAGATTAGGAATGCCTTTTCGCGTCTTAGTTAATTACCTGGGTGCCAAACTGTTCTTTGTTTTATGTAGGTATTTGGAGAGGGTTCATGATGCTGTTCAGGATGCGAAGGAGCTGGCAGAAGGTTGATGTACAGCCTGGCCTTTTGCATTTGACCTTAAATTTGTTTACTCATATAGTTCCTTGCGTTGAGTAAATGACATATGGAATCGTAGCCTTATCAACTAAATTTTGTTTTGGTTGGACTTTTTAATTATTGATTAATTTGTTTAATTTTTAACTAGTTGAGTTTTTACTCTGCTTAGTGCTTTGATCTATTAGCAGGGAAATGCCTTGCACAGCATGTTAGACGAATATCCCATTTGCTGAACATGAAAAAAGAAGATATGTATTCAACTATAGTTATTAAAAAAAAAAAATCAGCATTCTGAAATGATTCATCTTCTGTGATCTTTCATATGACACAACTCTCAAGTATGTCATAGAATTGGGGAGAAAACAAGAGGGCATATAGAGCTAGAATGGAAAGACTAGCACTTCAAACAGCCATTTAAATTAATCCAGCAAAAAATGATTTTTTTTTTTTTTTTTGGTGTCTGCCAACATAGGTTCGGTTGACCATGAAATTTAGAAAAATTATTCATTCTCTTCCTCCCATGCCATTTTTCATCATCACAGAACATTTGAATCCCCATCATGTCTTCTTTGCGCATCATCTACTTGCAAATCCTGATCCTAGCAAATAACCTTGTTCTAGGGGCGACTTTATCCTTGATTGGACACTCAGCAGGAGGATGGCTTGCACGTGTCTACATGGAAGAATTTGGGATGTCTCAGATTTCCTTGTTGTTGACTCTCGGAACCCCTCACTTGTAATTTTCTTGCTTAGAGATATTAAATCCTCTAAAATGGTTTGGAATTGGTCAATGGCTGATACTTACGGCATAGTTTCTTTACAGAGTGCATTTCTAGTTTTAATTAAAGCGAAGTGACCTTTTAGTTGAGAGAACCATATAGAATTTTATCATTTTATTTTAGCCTTTAAAGCAAATTTTGCATTTAACATTCCTGTCAATTTAAGCCCATTAGATAATTAACAGAGATGGTGATGCAACTTAATGGGAAGCCAATGTGGTTTTAAGTGCTTATTCGGCATTGAATTACAAAGTGTACCAAGCATCATTTTGAATTCATTGGCTTATGCCGAGTGTCAAGTGAAAACTTAACTGCAACATCAACTTCACTTTAGGCCACAGGAACTGTCGTTGTCTGCTGTCTGCTAATGGGCTTATTGTAAGGATGAAAAGAAGATACTGATTGGAGGACTGCTATAAGATATTAAAGTTTTGAGAGATCAAATGAGACAAGGTGTATTTTTGGAGGACTAAAATTTATGCCCCCTCCTTTACTTATTCAAACATGAAGGAAGCAATTCTCTGAGCTTACTCTGGTTCACGATGATGAAATTCTGATCATATTTTCTTCGACTTTCTTCTCAGAGCACCTCCAAAGGGCACACCTGGGGTCATTGATCAAACACGAGGACTCCTGAATTATGTTGAGCAAAACTGCTCAAAAGCTGTTTACACCCCTCAAATGAAGTATGTTTGTATTGCTGGAAGGTAAATTCGTCCTTCATGCTTTGCTGAATGGGTTATTTATTTGTTGGATACGTGTGAAATTATTTTCTCTGCTTAGTCCCTCAAGTGCTAAATGCCTTAACAGCTGTTGATGATTTAGATGTTTTCATTGAATTTCATGTTAGCCTGAAAAGTTGTTGATGGATTTTCCAATACGTATCGATTCTGAAGTATTTGACCGTGGTAGTGAACCAAAAGTGGTTGAAACTTGAAACCTAAAAGACCAACAACACTTTGACTCATTGTGTTCTAGTTAGGATCTATACTTATGGTTTAACACCTCATGTTGATGATCTAAAATTTTAAGGCATCTATTTTGGTAATAACTTTAGGAGTTTATGGGATGAAGACTCTGCCAAAAATATCAGTAAAGAGTTCAATATCTTTGTTATCGTCAGTGCAACTTCAATAGTCCAGGCTGAAAGAGTGATTGATAATTGAGTACAGCTATATGCAGATATATTGAAGGGGCTCAGTTTTTTGGCCAGTCAAATGCAAAGATTGAGTCTGTGGCTCCCATCAATGGTTCTCAGCCAGTTCCTGAAGCTGCCGTTATGAGTGCTTCAAGCAATTCTCCACCTATTACTACAACTTTTCGAACTCGCTTTGTTGGACAAGGGTACAAACAGGTGATTGAATCATTTTAAAGCAAAATTTCGTATTGATTCTCCAATGATGATCCCAATATAAATTGGCTTCCTCGGAATTGGTTTTTCCCCCTTACTCACTTTAATGCCGGAGAGTTTGATTAGTTTCAAGCCCATAGATCATCTCCTCCTCCAAATATTGTATAGTATTATTTTCTCCTTGAAAAGTTGAGTATTGTCAGTAATTTACTACTTGAAGGATGAAATTAGAACCAAATCCAAGTTTTAGAGTACTGAAGTGATATAATATTATCTTTGGAAGGGATAATTGACATTGAGGTCCTTTGAGGTTCTATATGAAGGACCAAAATTGAGTTTTATTCATTGTTTTTTTTCCAATGAAAAGTTTTATTCATTGTTTTATTTGTTCACTTGTGGTTATAAGTATATAAATTGCTAGCCTCCAGTCCAACTGATAAATGAGTTAGGAAAAATTACAATGAAGGATCCATAACTTGTGTTGATGATGATTGCAGAATTCAAAACTTAAACTCCTCTAAGGATCATAGAAATAAGTTACCATTGATTCTCATAAAAATACCAACGGTGTTACTTAAAGTTACAACATGACTACTTCTAAAATTACAAGAATGTTCTGTTTTAAGTTTTGTTCCAATCTTTGGATTAAAACACCTTGACATATCTGGTTGATCAAGGTGTAGTTTTAGAAGTACCAATGGTAATCCAATTTTATGTCCTTCACGAGGAACTTCTATTTTTTTGAGTCTTTAACTGCCATTAACATAAATCATGGATAGTTCACTTTCATGTTCTTCCTGGTCAATTATGGGTGACTTTTTTTTGACCTTGAATTATGGGTGACTGAACCCATGACATTTTGTCAGGTTTGCGGGCAGGCGGATGTATGGGGTGATGGTGTGGTGCCAGAAGTATCAGCCCATCTTGAGGGCGCACTCAACATTAGCTTGGACGGAGTTTATCACTCACCTGTTGGTTCAGATGATGAGTTGAGACCTTGGTATGGTTCCCCTCCTATTCTAGAGCAATGGGTAGAACACCTTCTCAATTAAATTGGAGTGATCAATCAGCATTTTGTTTATACCCCTTATTTTGTCTTTTAGAGTTTGTTATTAACAGAATACAATGATATCGTATGATGATTTATGGAGATTATCTCACTTAAGGGGTGTTTGGGTGATTGCCCAAACCATGGTTTAGGGAAAAATTACCCAAACACCCATCAATTTTTTAAAACCATGGTTTTATGATAAAACCATGGTTTGCTTATCAAAACCAAGGTTTTGTAATAAGCAGAAAATTTTTGCTTTTTGAGTGGTTCTCCCCCCACCCCCTACAGTATTTTTTTTTTGGTTGGAAACAATTATTTATTTTTCTAAAAACATAATCTTATATTTTATAATTATATATACACATATTAACAATTACTACATCCTGTCTTTAATATAAGACTTTATTTGACTTTTATTTGGTCCTAAATATAAAACCCCAATCTACTTTATTTTTCATATTTGTTTATCGTTTTTCAAGTTATAACCAATAAACTTGATTAATAGGGATATTGTAGAAAAAACAACACCTATTTATTACAAATAACTAACTTAATTTATTTTTTTAATCTATTCAAATTAGTCAACTAACTCTTACATTTATAACTGGATATAGTAATTAATATATGTTTTTATACATTGTTTATTATGTTGGCAAAAAAAATAAATAATAAATTTATTATTCCGGTTTTTAATGTAGGACCTAATTGGAGAGTTAATATTGGTCTTAAATATAAGATTATTATTCCGGTCATTAATGTAAAACCTAATTGGAGAGTTAATATGTAGAAAAGGTCTTAATACCTTCATCAATAGAATCTTTATCCCACATGACTCGGTTTCATGACTCTATAAGAGATCAAATTGTTCACTATATACAAGAATAGTCATGTCTTTTTTATTTTCTTTTTTCTTTTCAAATAATGTAATGTGTTGTTAAAAAAACTATTTGGACAAATATATTTCGTTGCAACCTCTATTATTAAGACAATTAATATGAAATCTTTTTGTGTGGTTATTTAATTTTGTGGAAAAAAATTATGGGATTTCATCTTTAAAATTTTTAAGAAATAATAATATTTTTTTGGCAAAATAAATTATTTTCCTAAAAGCATATTTAGTTATTTTATTAATATATATACACATTAATTTTTTATTATTTATATTATTTATGTCTTATTTATTATGTTGCCAAAATATATATTATTAACAAATTTATTACTTCAAATAAATATGTATTATGAAATATATCTTACATGTAATTATCATTTAAACTTATGTTCTTTTTAGTAATTTCTACATATCAAAAAGTACTTCTGACAATAATTATCCAAACACTCTCACTTTATCAGAATCACTTTTTTAGAAAATCTATTCTCTCCAGAATCTATTCTTTAGAATTTATTTTCCAAATCATAGTTTTGCCTCATCCAAACACCCCCTTAGTAGGATAAAGTTTATTATTGTTGTACTTGGTATTCTGAGCTGTAGGCTACACCGACTATAATCAATTCAAGTGTAAAGTCATGAACCCAGAATTAAGAGTCTTTCTCGTTATGCCAGGTGAAAAGAAATTTCGTTGTCAATTTTGTAGTGTCATTTGTTTCATAATTATCAAGGATTTGGTTATATGTTATTTATTTCTTATTAGAATTCATTAATATTTTCTATCTTTCATATGAATACTGTATATATTAATTTGTGAGCAATTGAGGAATTTACTAATCATTCAATAGACCACTTGTTTTTTCACTCGCCGTTGTTGCAAACAAACATGTATTATGAATGTTTGTTATGCTCTTGCTGTGTATGTGTGCTTCTCGGAATGAAACTGGCCTTGAAGCTTCACCCTCCCTTTCCCCATGTGTCGGTTTTATTAAAAGTAAAAAAATTTTTAGCAACAAACCCTTTGATTGAGATGGTAACCGATTATACCCACGTAGGAAGAAAAACACAATGAAAAGCATAGTGAGGATATTTTGAGTTACAAAAAAAAAAAAATATTTTTTTTTCAAAAGATATTTCTTCGGTCTTTTTTGTAAGATCTGCTTAATTAAATTATGCAGTTTAAAAAGGCACTTAAAGTCTATTAAAAGCAATAAGTAAAATTTGGACCTCTTTCACTTCAAATATGTTCTTATTTAATGAGGGAAAAAGTAAGAGAGAATAATAATAATAATAATGAGATAGAGGACTAGAGAAAATAAAATATGAGAAAAACATGAGGAGAGAGAATAGAAAATTAATCATGGGAAGCATAGAGAGGATACTTTGAGTTACACAAGAAAAAATCTCTCTCTGTTTTTTTTCCTTTTACTCAAAAGATACACCCTCTGGTCTTTTTAATAAGATCCTATTAACTAAATTATGTAGTTTTAAAAAACAATTAAAAATAGTTAAAAGTAATAAGTAAAAATTAAACCTCTTTTTTCTCAAGTATGTCGCTATTTAATGAGAGAACAAATAAGAGAGAAAAATATTAGTAATGAGATAAAGGATGAAAGAGAATGAAATATGAGAAAAAGATGGGGAGAGAAGATAGAAAATCAATAAGAAAAAATACATTTAACGTTCAGAGTAGGATTTTATAAAAAGAACTAAACGAATTGAAATTTTGAAATATTATAAATCATAAGTAGAGGGAGTATTTGTTATAGGGAATATCTTTTCCTTCTCCTTTCTAAATCGAACATTTTTTCCAGTTATTTACCCTGTTCAACTTAATGAGCTGACAAAAATTGATATGTTGGAAAATAGATTATAAATTAAGAAAAATAATTATTTATAATTTAGTGATTAAGTCAGCGATTTAATCATTAGTCGAACTAATTGACCATTAAATCCATGATCTGATCATATTTTTGGTCCCTTTGGTTTGGGTTTTATTTAAAAGATTGGTTCTTATCCCACATAAAAGAATTTTAAATGTTATTATAAGTAGTAACTTTAGACTTACTTTTGCCAATATAATAGTGTGAAAGTAACGATAACAATTATATACCTTTCAAAAAGGGAAAAGAATAATGTACACACGAACCAAAAAGTAAAGTGGGGAAAAAAAAATCCACTGTCCTCTTGTGCGGTATCGTTTTTTCATTCATTCATTCATTTTTGGTTATTTTCCCTTGCGAAAATGACATATAAGGACCACTAGAAGAAGTAAATGACATTGTAGGACAAATAATTCATAAAAGTATGGTTAAGGCGTTTATATAATTTTTCTATTCTCCTCTTTAAATTTATAATTGTAGTATTTCAAATAAAGGAAACAACTTTTGCTTTTAAACTAATGAATGCTTTAACGTCAAAAGGTCTAAAGCAATGATGATGCTCAAGGCCTCAAGTCCACTGAGTTAACTTAGCTCGCATGCGTTCGAATTTAGAATGGTATTAACACCCACCTCTATGCCCACTAAACTTGTGTCAATTCCGTAGATAAATTCACAAAAAATGGTTTAAATGTATCCTACTTAGTTAATTTAATTAGTGATCTTAATATTTTTTTTGCCAGAAATTAGTCATCTTAATAAGAAAGACTTGAATTAGTGAATATTCTTTCTCTTTCATTCTCATATGTTTATGCTAAGAGTTAATAACCTTGTAACTTAGTGTCATGGCTTATGAGAGCTTCTTTAAAGAATGGGAGGTCATGAGTTTGATTTCACTTATAATATCAGACTCTTAGTGCTTACCCTTTTAATTCAAATAAAAAATATGATTTTGTTAAGAATAACGAGCTTCATATAGTTTATTATGTGACTTGGGACTGTCATTTGAGACATCGTGAGAGTTTGAGGAGCTTATATTACATTATCTTTATAAAATATTTATATGTATTATTAGATTATATATCAATTTATAAGTAAGGTAAATTATTTTGAAGAACAACGATAAAAATAAATACTTTAAAAAATTTATTTAACTTTGTTAATTTTTCCAAATTAGTCAACTATATATTATATTATGGAGTAGAGGTAATAGTCTTGTACTGATCTTAGGTTATTGAAACTTCTAAATTTGTCTTATGGTCATGCCTTTTTGTTTAGAGTTTATAGTTAACTAAGTTTGACTCATTTTGCAGCAAACAGAAACCTAATCATGTGAAACATTAATGCTTCAACTTAATCCTGATTGAAGTAATAATATGTTTTTTCCATCGAAAATTGGAGTAAAGTCAACGTTACCAACTCATGGAAAGGGCTTTCCGTTTCTGCTTTTCAGCATAACATGCTAACATTTCTTTGTTTTTCTTTCGCTTTCGAATTAAAAATTAACCTTTCAATTACAATTTATGAAATGCAAGATAATTATACGTGACAAGAATTTTGTTTCAATTTATGTAAAGTTATTTATAAGAACTTAAAATAAGCCCATACAAAATCAAATTTGGATGGTCTGAATTATAAAATGTTCAATTTGTAATTTTTAAATCATTAATTTCTTTTTCATATGACCTTCATGGGGCCAAAAGTACATGATGCCTATACATCATGAAAAATAAGTTCAAAACTCAGGAAGAAGCTCCCTCCAGGTCCCCTCACTGCACCCCATGTTACATGCTTCTTTCCATTGTATTCCTGTGATCATAAATACTTCTTTGCTTTTAAATATAAGACCCATTTTATATTATAAATTATAAAATGAATCTTATATTTATGTCTAATATTTTAGTTTGATCCTATGTATGGTCATATTCTTTCTTGTCACCAATATTAAACTTTTTTCCCTTCATAATTCTCCTATATGTTGGACATTCTCTCTCGGTGTGTGCGCCCATTAAAATCTAATATGGGCTCTCCCTCTTCCCTTGAGAAGTCCAAATTACACTCATTAAAGGGAGGGATATTTTTGAAATATGTCTCATAAATTTTGTACATATTAATTATAAAAATACTAATTTAACTTTTAATCCTTGACAATTCAGTGGGGAGACAGATTTTGGCTTCACATTCTATTTTTTCTCATTTTCCTTAATAATTTAAATAGAATCAAACCAGTAATGTGGAACGATATCCTCCCAGGCTGCTCCCACGCAAAATGGGAAAAGTAGGAAGGAGATTGGATGAAAGTGATGGTTAAGATTAAAATAACAAAGATAACCTTACTTTTAATTAATTAACTACTTATCTCCACTTTCTCGTGTTCCAAACTTTTAAGACATTTAGAAGCAAAAATGCTTCGGCACTTGGAAATTTTGCTAAAGTACTGGAAGTGATACCCTTGATCTAAACCAAAAGCCACACAAAGCCTCGCCTTCTGAATCATGTAAGAAACAAATGCTCTTTGTTTCGTTTCACTCTTTCTCCTTTCACTCTCTGCAGAAACAGCAAAACGCCTCATAAACAAGATTCGTCGTCTCTCTTTCACCAAACCACCAAATCACAGGTAACTTTCCGCTCCATATATCTACACCTTTTTGTTTGGCTTAATTGATGCGACGATGGTAGCTGCTGCAGTTTTAACGGATTCTTCTTCTTCTTCTTCTTCTTCTTCAGAAAGCTAGAAACGATTGATCGTTCCAACAGTCCAATATCTTTGAAGCGGAGGCAAGATTCCATGGATCTGGTGAATGAGCCTCTGAGCCAGCAGGGTAACCCATTAATCCTTTCACTTTCACTGGGAAGCTATTCTATATGCCATACTCAATGAACAGATGTATTAAAAAGAAATCAAACAGCGACATTTTGATCAACACAGATTAGAGACTACGGGTAGGGGATTTTAAATTGTCTGTATTGGAAAAGAATTAGAGATTGATTCCCACCAAGAAATAATCTTTGTCTTTATTTGAAATTTCTAGAATTTATGGCCTTTAAATATATTTCGCAGTATAGAAAGTCCGTCAAGTCTTGTTTTCTCCTATTCTTATTCTCACCTGGGATTCGAAACCCATCTTGAAGCCGAACTAAAAGCTTCTAGCTACATCCAACTGCAAAACTATATTTTGTTATTAAATTGAAAAGCTTTTGAATTTTTTAAAACAATAAATAGTTATAAATAATTTACTATCTTATGATTTTTTAGATTAAAAAATTATTCTTCAAACTTACAAAATATTAAAAATTAAAACTAATAAATATATTATTATTATTATTATTATTATTATTATTATTATTATTATTATTAACAATCTGCCCCTCGACCCCAAAAAACACATTGTTGGTCGGCTCTTAATATTTGCCTAGAAAAAAGTGATTTGACCTGAAAGGGGCTAAAAATTTGATTTTGCAACCCACATACAAAACTCCTATATGAATGAATCTTTCAGTGAACTACACGATTGCTTCTCCAGCAGAGTTGTGGGGGGGGGGGGAGAGAGAGAGAGAGAGAGAGAGAGAGAGAGAGAGAGAGAGAGAGAGAGAGAGAGAGTAAAGGGGGAAAAAAGCAAAAGAATGACGTATTATTACTACCTCGAATATAGATAAATTATTTGAGGATATTATAAAAAAATTAGTTAAGTTGATTATTTATAATAAATATATATCAGCTTTTTTAAAAGATTAAATTATATTCTTGAGTCATATACATTAAAACTATCTGCTGGGGATTGTTTACAATCAATTGGAGTATTTAGTATCAAATCTAACCCTTAACTAACTTTTATATTAAAGACTAGAAGTTGTATTTTTTAGGGTATGAG